GAGGCAAAACAGAGAGTCACCCAGAGACAAAAGGTGAGAGCAACCCTCAAACTCGCTGGAAGCGAGGGGGGGGCTCTGGGGTCACATCCATCGGACCCGCGCGCCCCCAGGGGTTTCCCAGGGTCCCGAGCGTTTACTTTAAGAGGACTTGCGCTCAGGTAATCCCAGGCAGGGTACTGCTAACCGGCACCCAAGCTACCAAACAACTTTCTAAGAGCTGAACCCCGGGACGTGTACACTCACGGGGACCTAGCAGGGGGTACCACCAGAAATACTCAGAACACAAGGGACACAAGGGGCAAGAACGAAGGCAGACCCCCCCACCAGGTATATAAACAAAAGAAAAAGAAAACCCCGCAAGAGGACAGCGTACCCAAGCGGAACAGAGCCGGCCGCCATGATTGGTAAAGACAAGCTGCACAGTACCCCGCGCCCCACCAGTGCAAACACTGCCCCTTACTCTAAGGCGAACAAGGGAGACAGAACACCCGAGCACACAAAGAGCGGCCGAAAACCAAGCAGTAAACGGCCAAGCAGGGGCAGGACCCAAGGAACTTGTGGAAGGTGGCCCCAAGCCCCAAGGGCAGTACTTACAGGGCACCTAGGGAAGGGAACCCTAGGCGCATGCAGCCCGAGTACTGAAGAATCACTCCCGGCTCACGCACCACCTAGAAAACAGACACCACACTCTAGGTACAGTGCTGAACAACCACTGGAGCCGGAGCACATAACCATTGCCTATAGCATCAGCCGAAGAACTGATGGGTGGATAGCCGGCGTGGGAGGTCTGGGGCTCCCCCTTCCCCCTCCCGGGGAGGGGGAGCTGCGCAGACAGCGGCGCGGTGACGTATGACGTCATACTAGTTTCCTTGTTTCCTGTTGAAGAGTTCTATTCACTAGTTCGGCTTAGGTAGCAATTTTCACCAGAATAGGGGTTTGTTTTGGAATGCTTGCCTTTCTGGATGCTTGACCCGGTCGATGGCAGACATAGAATGCTTCCAACCACACGGGGGTTTCTATAGGCCATTGCTCCCCTTGCCTCTCTGAGGGGGCCAGGTTCTGGCTCGTGGTCCCCGGTAGGCCCTAGAACTCCATACACATGACTGATGCCAAAGTCTGACATTAGCATATCAGCTCCGGGGAGCCGACGGAGCTCCCCCCAGAAATGCCATAATATACTTGTTCATGCCATTATTTAGCGATGATATTATTACAGAAGACCCCTGACTGTGATGAAAATTACCAGGATTCTGATAATAGCAGGATTGTTGTGATAATTAGTGCTGTAGTGGGAGGAGTAATCTTGGTGGGGAGGGAGGTAGCATTATCTTGAGGTTATCTTGAGATGATTTCGGGGCTTTAGTGTCCCCGCGGCCCGGTCCTCGACCAGGCCTCCACCCCCAGGAAGCAGCCCGTGACAGCTGACTAACACCCAGGTACCTATTTTACTGCTAGGTAACAGGGGCATAGGGTGAAAGAAACTCTGCCCATTGTTTCTCGCCGGCACCTGGGATCGAACCCAGGACCACAGGATCACAAGTCCAGTGTGCTGTCCGCTCGGCCGACCGGCTCCCGCTGCTGTCTGCTGACTCTGTGTGACCACCTTTTACTGTCTGGACTCACTATACCAGCTTAGTTGTTCCCTATAGTAAACAAAACATGCAGATACGTACATATAATGTATGTATATAAAAGCAAAAACAGTATGGTGGGAGGAGAATGGTGGCGAGTCAGGTGAGGTGAGGGAGGGAGGTAGTGGAAGCCAGTGGCGGGCTGCCACTAGTTGCCAAGGCCACTCAGCATACCAGTGAACACTGAACTCAGCATACATAATGAACAGTGGTTCATTATGGTAAACACAAATGTAGATACTTATATATAACGTGTATATACAGTGTAATAACAGCAAAAGGAGTGTGGGGGGGAAAGCCATTTTGGTGATGGGTGTGGCAACATCTGCATGATTTGTCATGTTGGTAGGGGTGGCCACTGTGCTCTTTGGGCATTATACCGGCTTAGTTGAACAGTTATGGTGAACAAAACATGTAGACACTTATATATAACGTCTGTATATAGGGTAATAACACCACAAACAGTATTGTTGGGGGTGAAATTTTAGTGCGTCTGACCTTCAATTTGTGAGGGAAGCAGCCACCAGCTGACTGTGTGTAACAACATCTCTTAGTGCCTGAATTAACTATATCAACTTAGTTGTACAGTTGTGGTGAACAAAACATGTAGATACTTATATATAATGTCAGTATATAGAGAATAAAAGCAAAAACAGTATGGTGGGAGGAGAATGTGGGCGAGTGAGGTGTTGAGGGAGTGACTGGCAGCAAGTAGCTGGCTGGTTTGTGGCGGTCACTCCTCTTTGCTTTTCGACTCATAATACCAACTTTGTGGTTCGTTATGGTGAACAAAACATGCAGATACTTATATATAACCTGTGTATATAGTGTAATAACCGACAATGTATTTGTTCACTGTTTGATGAACATAATAATTGAATCAACAATATGCACACCATACTTTTGAGTACAGCAATGATTCACTCATTTCATTATATAAATATATCACACTACACACTATTGAATAATATTACAGCAAAACAAACTACGAAAAATCAGAGACATTGAAATAATTAGGTAATTATCTCTTTGTGGCTCCCAGCTGTCAGGCAGGAGCCTGACAACTGGGAGCAACAGATCGTCTGGGACGCACGCTGAGTCAGCGCCTGTTTTTTGCCAGACTTCCCCGCCCTATGGTGGGCAATATATGCCACTTACGATTTTTTTATTATTTTTTCCCATGATCAGAGAACACAAATTTGTGGGTGACAAATGCGAATTAGCCCTGAGCAACACAAGGGTTAAACAGAATTCCACAGCTGATGCAGTCTAATAGTTGGAAGCCATCTCACCAAGATACACACAAGAGCCACAAGAGACTCTCAACAGCAAATACAATATCATCGACCCCAGTGTCTAAGGGTCAAATACAGTTACAGGAATATTAACACTTTCTGCGGATCAGGACATTACCTGGAGTCCTGTTTGCCTAACCGCTTCCGCAATGTGGACATAAAATGATGTCCTCAAAAAAATATTTGTATAAAATTCAATTTTAATCCGATTTACTTTGGGTTTGTTTCAAACTGCGCGCCATGAGGTTCTCTTTCTCACCACTAGGGTGCATGGTACAATAAGTTCATGAAAGGTGTGGACCACTTCGATCAAATGGTATTACCATTTTACCAGGAAAACTCACAAGTGGACCAAAAAGATAACGTTTATTTCCTGCAAATGGCATTGCATAATGCCTTTGTTTTGTACAAATACAACACAACTGATCAAAAAAACTAACATTGCTACAGTTCCATGAGGTGGCAATTTGGGCCCTATTGTGCTGGGACCCGGAAGATTGGCCTCAAACAGCAACAGTATCTCAACACTTGCGGCACGCTCCAGACATAAATGCTGACACAGGTCCTGCCTATGCTGACGCCATGCAAACTCCCGGACCATCTGGTGTGAGGCGGCCTTTGTTCACTTCAACACCTCAAGCTGAAGCAGCAACCGAATCAGAACCCGAGATGTCTGGCACACTGCCATTTGACGAGACGGTTTTGTCAGATACTCTGACTCTGACTCAAATGTTGAACCTCCAGTGATTCAGTTGATTCTGAAAATCGCATGAACTACAAACTGAAACGAGTATTTTGATACCAGAATGAACACTGTATCACATAAACTGCCGTAAGTAGACTCGAACCTTCATAGATTTTTTTTTGGGTGTAGCGTGTCTGCATGAGTGTCCCAAACGGGTTGCAGGTGGGTGAATTTAGCCGTTTATACTGGTAATGCTTCCCCCATATCATGTATTATATGCATATGTCTGTTTAGGGAATTTTATTCCGATCAATGTACAACCAAAAATAACTGTGTGCAACAAGTATAAACTTGACAAACATAACAACAGTAAAAACATTTCGTGTGTGTTTGACGCTCACTGATATGTTCCAGCGTTGTTTTATATTTGGCGCTATTCTATCTTACGCTTTGTTGATCTTTTTTACCTACGGGCTCATAGAACATTCTATTGCAAACACATTGGCACAAAAATGAATGACGTACATAGAATAATAATGTCAGGACAGTGAAATAAGTATAAACTTTCAAAGCGCCGTATCGCACATGCGTCGACGTGTCACCGATACCGGGTAACAGTTCCGCCACTTCCCACACTCTTGCGGGTGGGCCGCGACCATTATTCTACGTTTATATTCATATCACCGTGTTGGGAATTTCATTGCGAGTCCATTGATACCAAAATTAACGCTGTAGGACAAGTGTGGAGGTGATAACAATCCCAAGAGTAAAAACATTTTGTTGCTGTTGGGCGCTCACGGCGAGTCATCTACGTAGGTTTTTATTTGGTGCTGGTATCCCTATACCTTTCGTGACCTTTTTTACTGATGTTCTTCTAGAGAATTTTATTGCGAACACGTTGGTACCAAAATGAAATACGTAGCTCGAGAACTAAGGTCAGGAGAGTAAAAAGAGTATACACATTTTTGTTTTGACGCTTAAGCGACAAAAACGCCGCGCGCACATACCGCTTTTTTTTTAACCTTAGCCGGGCGGGCAAAAGTGTTAAGAAAATAATGTTTTTATGAATAATAACAAAAGAAAACATACTGTATTTGAAGAAGTAACTTTAAAGCAGAGTAGAAACTACTAACTAATAGGTGGTGAAAAACACCTCTTAAGGATGAGCCTTTATTTTCTGACAATGTTTCACTTTGGTAAAGTGTTATCGAGTTCATAAAACACTTGGTAAAATTTCATACCATGCTAAATATTCATACTTAAATGGTGCTTTTCTCTATAATGAATATCTTATTACATCTTGAAACTTTAAAGTAACCAGCCCTTGAAAACACATGTGATATATAATTGAAGAGGCTCAGTATATATTAAAGCTAGAGTAAAGCTCACCTGAGCGACACTACGAAAGCCTTGGGAGACACACATTTTGAAGGAGCTTTTGAAGTCCTGTACGTCAGCAGTTAATCTGAAAAAACAAGCATTGAATGTAATGAAACTCCAATTTCTGGGTGAACCCCGGTGGCTCCCTGAAAATACCAACTCCAATGTAGATGCCATCAGAGGCAGACTTCTCTGTCCTACTTGGGACCTAGTGCCAGAACCTATCCCCTCATAGGGGAACAGGAAACTATGGCATTTATATATCAAGTTATTCATTTATGCCACTACTGAAGAAGACACCCAGAAAGTTAGTGAATCAACACAAACTACAGCTGGCTGCTTCTGAGACCTGCAGGCTCAAAAAACCAGGGCAATGAATGTAATGAAACGCCATTTTCTTGGTGAGTCCTGGAGGCTCCCCAGAGCTATCCAGGCTGATAAGGATAGTTTTAACTTTTGGCATCAGTCGATGTGGGTGGAGTTCTAGACCTACCGGGGACCACAGCCAGAACCTGGCCCCCTCAGAGAGGCATGAGGAGCAATGGCCTATAGAAATGCACATGTGATTTTGGAGCATTCTATATCTGCCATGTACCAGGACTGGCACCCAAAAAGGTAAGCGCTTCAAAACAAACCCCTATTCTGGTGAAACCAAAGAAAATAACGAAACAAGTGGACAGAACTTCCCAAAGGGAAAACGAGCAAACAAGCATGACATCACACGAGCCACTCATTATGTCTGTGCAGCTTCCCCCCCCCCTCCCCGGGAGGGGGGTAGGGGGAGCCCCAGACGTCCATGCCGGCAATCCACACCTTCAGTTCCGAGGCTGGATATCAAAATACGTGAAAACCGCCGACCGGAGGGAGGGAGGGAGGGAGGGTTGCCGGGGGAGCCTCCCGGACTCTCCCAGAAAAAGGCGTTTCATTACATTCAATGCTGGTTTTCTGGGGGAAGCCCCTACGGCTCCCCAGAGCTACTTCACCAAAGAATAAGGAAAGAAGGGGACATACCCCGGGAGGCGGTCAGTGCTCCACACCTCAACTCAAAGTCGACCCAAAGTGACATAGGCCTGACTCGGCCCAGGAACGTTCACGAGGTAGAGTGCAGCCAGGACCCTGTTCGACCGCCAAAAACCCTGTGCCCGAATGTCAACCCAGGATATGTTCCCAAAAACGGCAGCATGAGTAGCAAACTTACGAAGTCCTGGGTACGGGGATAGACCGCAGGCTGGCTAGACCTAATAACCCTGCGGACGACCTGAGAGACCCGTACCCGCGAACAGGGAAGAAGGGAAACCGGATCATCCCAAAGTGCATCCCCGGACACAGAAGCCGTGGTGCGCAAATAACGAAGTAGGGCGACAACCGGACACAAAACATGATGCACCCCCGGCCTGACCAACCAAGCATCAACAACCCAAGGACCCCTCCAGAAAGCAGCAGTCTCATTCTTTGACAGAAAAGAAGGAGACGCCTGTCTCCTTCGAACAAACCTCCATGACCGAAAGAGCAGAAACCCCTGCGCAGGAGGAGAGCATGAAGCTCCTTGACCCTACCCCCAGAGGCCAATGCCAACAAGAAGAGCCTTTAAAAACAGTTCTGAACCGAGGGGCCACCACAAACTGAGGAGAAGAGAGAAAAGAGAGCACCCAGTCCAATGACCAGGTCGGCTCAGGTGGCACATGAGCAGGCCGGAGGTGAAACTACACCCGAGAAAGGTTGCGGAACGGAGCAGAAGTGACATCCACCCCAAATGCAATCTGCAGCGGCTCCGCCAGCACTGAACAAAATGAGGCGACAGTATTTGGCATATGATGACGGTCCTGAAACAACCGAGAGAGAAAGGACAAAACAAGTGCCGAAAGGACTGACAGGAAATTTCATACTGCCGTCGAGACGAAACTCTCAGGTGGGACATCATCAATGAAGCCACCTGATAACCATACAAGTGGTGATAAATCCACGTCAAAAAGACCAGACACCAAGAGCGGAGGAGAAGATCGAACCAGCCACATACCGGACTGGACCGATCCGCTGAAAGAGGCAGAGCCACAGGAAGACCCTCGGGTTCGGACATCGAACAAGAGGAGCCTGAAACCCTGAAACCAGGGCTGGGTTGGCCATCAAGGAGCCAACAGGACTACTCTCTCTAAGTAAGGACTAATACTTCCTGACGAAAGCATTAAGAGGTAAGCATCTCTAAGCGAGCTAAGACCAGGAGCAACAACCGAACCGGTGGGAAGAGGTACAGGTAACCCCACCTCAACCAGTCCAGCCGAAAGGCATCGATACCTGACTGCCTCACAGTCTGGGAAGGGTGCCACATACACTGGAAACTGGAAGATGCCTTGACCACACCGATATGAAGAGATCCACCTCTAGGCGCCCGTACGTCCGGCAGAGCCAACTGAATGAGTCGGCGTCGACCATCCATTCTGCGTATAGGGAAATGAACTGAGACAGGCCGTTCGCCGGGATGTTTGACACCACATGAATGTGAACCGCCAGGAGAACCAAACCCCGAGAACTGAGCAGATGAGTCACCTGAAGCAACTAGTCCTAAAGAGGCAAGGACCACATCGATCCCCTGCGGTTCAGACAATAAACCACCGGGGAGCATTCCGAATGGAGCTGGATCGTGGCTCCGCGAGCAACACGAACCCGCTGAAGCGAAAGCCACACTGCTGCAAACTCCTGCACCGTGCTGTGAGCCCGATGGAAGGACGGACCACACCCACCCTGGCTGGCTAGGTGAGCACTGGTCACAAAACCCCAGCCGAGTGACGAGGCATTCATAAACACATCAAGCGAGGGCTCAGAGAGGCGTCAGGGCACAGAACCCCAGAAAAATCCTCAGAGGAAACCGGCGACACAACAACCGACGCAAGGCTCCCGAGATCTGAACCCAGCGATCGCGAGAGAGGCGGAAGGGATGCCCCCGAAGAAACCAGAACAGTCACCGAAGCCAAATCCGACCCGACGAGTAGACCAGCACGGTGAAGTTCAGGCTCCCACACAGCCGCTCGAAGAACCGACAGGTTTCCTCCAAAAACAGTCGTAGGCAGAACCGCAGCCGCAACATCGCCGCAGGATGGAGAGATAAGGAAGCGGTCCAAGAGTCCCACACAAGACCCAGCCAAGTCCGAACCTGAGAGGGAACCAAATGAGACTTCCTCCAGTTCACCAAGAACCCAAGCCCAGTGAATTGGGAAAGAACCAAATCCCTGGTGAGCAGACACGCAGATTGGCTGGGAGCCGACACCCGCCAATCGTCAAGGTAAATCAGAACCTGAACCCCTAACAGACACAAACGGGTCACCATGACCCGGGTAAGACGTGTGAACCCACGAGGTGCCAGATTCAAACAGAAAGACAGGCAACAAAAGCAGTAAGCCTGTCGCCCCATGACAAAACCGAGCTAACCCTGAACCCCAGATGAATCAGGATGTGCCAATACACGTCCCGGAGGTCCAGAGACACCAACCAGGCATCTGGTGCCAAAAGTAGCCGGACCTGAGACAGCGGTCATCCAAAAGGAGGGGCAAAAGACCCAGGGGTTCAGATGGGACAAGTCCTGAATTCTTGAGATCTTGAGTGAATGAATCGCAGATCTGCACAGTCCCATTTCGGAACTGAAAACTGGCTGGAAACCCACTCCATGATGACCTGACAGAGCGCAGGAGAAGAGGCCCGCCCTGCCAGCTCCGATCCCCCCAAAGGAGGAAGAATGACCCAATGCCATCACAGGCCAGAGGAGACGACCCTAAATGCCCATGAATTGTGGGACCAGGTAAACAGCCTCCCCCCTATCGCTCAATGAACAGAAGCGAACCGCAAAAGGACCGATGACCCTTACGAAAGCCCGACCAATACCCAGAGCGATCATTGCATCGACCAAACGCCAACGACTCTGCAGGAAGGGCCAGTCCTGAATCTGGCACTACTGGCTTACGACGACCAAAGGAACCCCGAGACCTGGCGCAACCCTTCCAGGCAAGACCACAACGCCCTTGCCTCCCCCACAGGAGAACCAACAAGTCCGACATAGGCCGAAATTAGACGAAGCCACCTGCAGAAAATGCACCACCGCATTCTCTGCAAACAGCAACGGACAAAAAGTGAATATTAGAGTATACCTGACAAGCTGTATAGAAAACCACAACCTAACCTAACCCTGAGAGTGTAGGAGGACAAGCATGTAATTACCTAAGTGTAGTTACAGGATGAGAGCTACGCTCGTGGTGTCCCATCTTCCCAGCACTCTTTGTCATATAACGCTTTGAAACTACTGACGGTCTTGGCCTCCACCACCTTCTCACTTAACTTGTTCCAACCGTCTACCACTCTATTTGCGAAGGTGAATTTTCTTATATTTCTTCGGCATCTGTGTTTAGCTAGTTTAAATCTATGACCTCTTGTTCTTGAAATTCCAGGTCTCGGGAAGTCTTCCCTGTCGATTTTATCAATTCCTGTTACTATTTTATATGTAGGGGATGAAAATCTAAGAGCCAGGGCCTAAGATGATTCCAAAGAATGGATGAGCAATGCCTGTTGGCACCAGCACACCCTCCGAATAGACAGTACATTTTAATACTAAATGTAATAAGTACAATCATGACTATCAAAATAGTACATAAATATACTAAATCGCCAGCATTGCACCAAAATATTGTGAATATTAGAGTATACCTGACAAGCTGTATAGAAAACCACAACCTAACCTAACCCTGAGAGTGTAGGAGGACAAGCATGTAAATAGCATTTATTGCTTCTTAATTACAATAAGTACTTAACCTATAGCTATATTGATATTACAATTATATAAAACTAATAAAACAAAACAAAAGTCTTTCAATAAATTATAAAGTAACTTAGGCTACCTGGTTGATTACCTGGTTGATGGGGTTTTGGGAGTTCTTCTACTCCCCAAGCCCGGCCCAAGACCAGGCTTGACTTGTGAGAGTTTGGTCCACCAGGCTGTTGCTTGGAGCGGCCCACAGGCCCAAACATCCACCACAGCCCGGTTGGTCCGGCACTCCTTGGAGGAAACAATCTAGTTTCCTCTTGAAGATGTCCTCGGTGGTT